AGGAAGGAAGGAAGGAAGGAAGGAAGGAAGGAAGGAAGGAAGGAAGGAAGGAAAAGAGAGAAGAGAAAAAGGGAAAGACAAACAGAGGACAGCATGTGTCACTCCTCTTCTCAAAGCCAACAGTGGCGCCCAGCTTACTGGGTATACTGGGAGCACACAGTGCTGTGAATCATTCCTGATACGTGAGTAAATCAATGTGGCCAATCAGCTCATGCACACATCAGGAATCAACTGTTCTATTAATACATTGTTGTTTTAGTTCACTGTTTTTACTGTGTTCTATTTCTTCCTCTCATACTTGAGTGAAATCATTGGGAATTTTATCTTCATTTGACCATGAAAAATTCATATGGAATGAAAATAATATCTTAATAAAATCTATGCACTTGTTATCAGGGATACGATGCTTGATGTCTCTTATACATATTGATCTATGTGGTATGTGATTTCTTAAAGTTTAAGAAAGAAAAGAAAAGCCAAAGCCTTCCCAGTGTAGCAGGCCCTACTTTTCTCCTCTCATCTCCTCGTCTGCTTTTCTCCTATCCCATTCTGCTCCCAGTGCTCCAACTCCCTTAGTATTATGCAGACAACATAGGTCTTGACTCCTTTTCTATTCAGCACACTCAGTTCCCTGAGATATTATCTCTATATATTTCTAAGTGGCTCATACCCTAGTCTGCTCGGATAGCACCTTCTCCATGAGATCTTCTCTGGCTACGCTATAGCCATTCCGGGAGCTCAGGACTTCAATTCAATGCTCAATGCTAGAAGTACCTTAATTATACTGAGCTAAAAAATAAAACAAAAACCAAATCAAAAGAAAATGAAAACATCTACCTCCCAAAATGCTGAGTCTATTTTAGTACTAGCGCAACCAGCACATCCTCAGATCTAATTTTGGAGCTTTCTTTGAAATTATATGAAAATAAACATTAAAAATGTGATTATTGCAATCTTGCCTAGAGTCAACTACACACCTTTGACTTCTTAAAAAATCTTTCTTGGTTACTTTTCAGTTACTACAGATTTATATGCTAAACAATTTAGGCAAAACCATTTGCTTAGTTTTCACATAGAGCATCAGCAAAGGCTAAAATTGCCTTGATAATGAGGAAGAATTTATTGAAGTCTGTGTAATTTTAGAATTCAATGTCAACAAACAAAGCAAACAATACAACAAAATTTATGTCACTTGACACTAAAACGCACCACGTTGATTTCCCTCTGAAAACCTTTGGGCCTGTCTCCATGAGCCTCTCCTACCTGTCTTTTTTTCCCAGCATGGAGAGCCCTAAAGCATCCCTGCTCCAGGATCTGCCTTGCCCTCCTTGAACCCAAAAGTGGGCTGTGCTTTCCTCATGCAAGTGGAAATTTGCCATCTCTTCTGCTGGGGTTCGACCCTGGAAGAACCAGTCTTCTCCTTTTAATAACTGGGTTTCTTGGGGACCTGGCCCTTCTAAGAATCCTGGTCCCCAGATATTTTTTTTTTCTGTAATTTGTCAATCGAGGTAATAAACAATGGAACCAATCTTCTGAGCTTCATCTCTACCCACTGAAGCTTAGATGTCTATAACACATTCAGGATAAATGAATTTTCACATTCTTTTGGAGAGGTATTTTTTTGAAATTAGGATTGGTCTCAAAAATGTTGAGATAAAAATTGAATCAAAAAGAGCGTTTTTCTAAAATATAGCAAGCAGGCAATTAGTGAACCACCTATCCTGAGAACTGGATATAGGACAGCTGCTTTTTCTTGAATGGCATTTTGCCATCATATTTTAATTGAAAGTATAACTAAATGAAAAAAAATTATGACTGAAAATTAATTTGTGCAGTGAGAGCACTCTGTGCCTGAGCTCATTCTAAATGTGAATCTGTCAATTTATCAATGAAAATGCAATATCTGAGTTTGTCTGAGAGGCTGTTTAGTTTGAGTTTTGGAAGATGAGTTGGAAAAGAAAAGGTTCTCAAATCATCTGTAATATAGCCATATTAAAAACAAAACAAAACCAAAACAAGAACACACAGAAAAAAAATAAAACAAAAATTCAAGTGTATGAAAGGTCATTATAATCTGATGCATTGAGTTAACATGTTTGTGTTAACTAATATCATTTTTTGGAAATAATATGATTCATGTGTATACTTTTTAGAAAACTTGGAATAGAAGTAGACAAAAATATCAGTACATTTATTTTGGTGTGATATACATAAATGGATATTTATTTTTAACTAAACAACATAATTGTTAATTAATATGCAATAAATTCTAATAAAAACATTTTGTATGAAAACTGTGATGGAATAAAATATATAGCAAATGGCCACAACTGTATACAGTTTCTTAGGATATGTTGTATACTACAGCATCAGAAGCCATCATGCTTATAGGTAATAAAGGCTGTTGGGAAGAATATTCAGATTACTTGGGGGTGGGATCCATAGTACTGTCTCCCAGAGTTCGGCACTTGATGTCTTACCTTCCAAAGTTTTTGGTAGTTCTACATATGGGGTGATGTAATTAGGTTACTACTGTATAGTAGTACCACTGTATCCGGGCTATTTTTATAGCTAATTATATAGCCTGGATCATTTTGGAATTTTTTTGCTATTACTTTTACAACTACTTTCCATCATAGGTCTTTTTTTATGCTATTAGATTTGGGGGAACAAAATTAAATGCCATTGATAGACTACATGGTAGTCTTGTGTGAGGGGGACTTTGCATATCTAACCTCAAATCTAGATTTGTAATTCCTGCATATTTGCAGGAAAAAAAATGAAAGGCAGAATAGAGTCTGCACAGCAGATTATGTACTTTGACAGTTTTCTCTGGTACTTTCATCTGTACACATCAGCCACAGCTCTACTCATGTTGATGGGAGGGTGTCCATGCCTACAAAGATCATCACTTCTTACACATGAGGGACAGCCAGCCAGAAGGCACATGGAACATAAGCAATATATATATACATACATACCCACAACCAGAAAGTGTCAGGCTTCACAGATCAGCCTGGCTTCCTGGTGAGAGCAAACCATGGGAGGTGGGGGGCTCCAGGATGCTTCCCTCTAATATTCAGGCATGTGGTGACAAGGGTGGGTGTCTCTTCTCTGGCAAGAGAAAATATTAGAGCACATGTAAATAAACATCACCTTTTAAACTAAGCTGGATAATGAGGATTAAAAACCTATCATGAGATAGCAGGAGGGGAAGAATGAAGGGGAGTAAGTTGGAGGGGGAGATGAACCATGAGAGACGATGGACTCTGAAAAACAAACTGAGGGTTCTAGAGGGGAGGAGGGTGGGGGGGATGGGTTAGCCTGGTGATGGGTATTAAAGAGGGCACATTCTGCATGGAGCACTGGGTGTTATGCACAAACAATGAATCATGGAACACTACATCAAGAACTAATGATGTAATGCATGGTGATTAACATAACAATAAAAAAATAAAAAACCTATCATGAAATATATGAATTGCAAGCTATGGTGCACATTTGTAGGTTTGGAAGGCTATTAATGACCTAAACACTTAGAAACCTACAAATGTGTACTATATAGAACATAGTGCCTCTCCTTCATTGGGTCATCTTTTCCACACTACTCCCGGTCATCAATTATCTTGGGTATTCTTTCCAATAGCTTTATATTTCCCATGAGCATCATGGCTTCTGATAGTGCAATATGCAGTCTATTGTAAGGAACGTTCATAATGGCCATTTGCTCTGTATTTTATTTCACAGTGTGGCAATTCTAATTGATTTCTTTTTTTTTTTAAAGATTTTATTTATTTATTTGACAGAGACAGAGATAGCGAGAGCAGGAACACAAGCAGGGGGAGTGGGAGAGGGAGAAGCAGGCCTCCCGTGGAGCAGGGAGCCCGATGTGGGACTCGATCCCAGGACCCTGAGATCATGACCTGAGCCGAAGGCAGATGCTTAACGACTGAGCCACCCAGGCGCCCTCTAATTGATTTCTTATTTCAAACATTATAAACTTATTTTTACTAAAGTTTATTGCATATGCATATTAATTAAGAATTATGTTATTGCATTAAAAATAAATATCCGTTTAGATGTATCACATCAAAACAAATTTACAGATAATTTTAAATATTCAAATTTTCATTTCAGGAATTATATTTTAAAATTCCTCTTTTATATTTCTCAGTAAAGTTGATATTTTAAGGTTTTCTTCATTGTATGATGAATCAATTTATCAGTGCACAGAGATATTTGAAATTGGATAATTATCACTATGATAAGGATTATATAAAAATTATAGATATTTAATAGTAAGCTTAAATCTAACCAAATATTGTGGAAAGTCATTTCAAATTAAGAGAATTGATAGCATTTTATTGTACTAACAAACTAATTTCAGTGTAACATGCAAAATGATACTCTTATTATAATAATGTAGCCAACATTTTTTGAGCATTTATTTAATTGCAGTCATGTGCTTTACATATAGTTCTTCATCTTGTGTTTACAACAGTTGTACATGTTGGGCATCAATCTACAAGTAAGAAAGTTAAGTCCTAGAAAGTAAGTGATTCTTTCAAGGTCACTGAGCTCAAGGTTACTATGGAACCATTAGCTCCCCCCAGAATGTCTGGATATAGAGGCTGTGTTGGCACAGAATTCTTTCCTACTGCTCTAGGTAAGAGTGGTAGAGTCTTGTCTTACCAAATATACTTGTTCACAAAATAACGGGGGGAGGTGGAGTAACTGCATGCCAATCAATAGAAGTCTCACACAGTAAGCATGGGGACAGACAGCTTCATCTGCAGCCTTCCTCGAGCACACTGCCATCACTTTTGAGGGCCATGCTTGAAAAGCTCCTAGCTAATGTGGTATGTGCTCAGTGGAGGATGTTGTGATGCTTTAGAATTATGCCAAGAAAAAAGTAATGAGGGGCACCGGGGTGGTTCAGTCGGTTAAGCATGACCTTGGGTTCAGGTCATGATCTCCGGGGCCTGGGATCAAGCCCCACATTGGGCTTCCTGCTCATTAGGGAGGCTGCTTCTCTCTCTCTCAAATAAATGAATAAAATCTTTTAAGAAAAAGAGTTAGAAAAAGTAAAGAAAAAGAAGAGGTATTTCTTCTGATTTGAAGAAGATAAATATGGATGATTTTATAGATTAAATAGTTTTTTTAATATTTTATTTATTTATTTGACAGAGAGAGACACAGTGAGAGAGCGAACACAAGCAGGGTAGGGGGAGAGGGAGAAGCAGGCTTCCTTCAGAGCAGGAAGCCTGTTGCGGGGCTCGATCCCAGGACCCGGGGATCATGACCTGAGCTGAAGGCAGACGCGTAATAACTGAGCCACCCAGGTGCCCCGAAATTCGTTAAATTCTTAATTGTGGTAAAGTACATATTACATAAAATTTTGATAGGAAGGGGTAGAGCTGACTGGAAATAGACTCACCCCACCTTCTTCCCTCTCCCACCTACCCCACATAGGTGGGCCAACCATCACAATAAAAAGTTGTCACTTAGTAAGAAGAAACGAGTCAGTTTAGAATTTTTTTTAAGATTTTATTTATTTGACAGAGAGAGACACAGCGAGAGAGGGAACACAAGCAGGGGGAGTGGGAGAGGGAGAAGCAGGCCTCCCGCGGAGCAGGGAGCCCGATGTGGGCCTCGATCCCAGGACCCTGGGACCATGACCTGAGCCGAAGGCAGATGCCTAATGACTGAGCCACCCAGGTGCCCTAGATTAAATAGTTTTATGAAAGAAATTAAAATTGCTATATTTCATCTTTAAAGGAGAGATGCCATTAACAGATGGTGCCTTTAGGGAAATATATTTTGGTCCAATAAAAAGACATTCTGAAACTCAGATTTGATATTGTTCAAACACAGGGAATATCATCTCTCGCTTAGGCATTATACAGGCAAATAATTACTGAATATAGATAAGACAGACATCCAAGTGTTTTGGGAAATGTAATTCTGTGACCTCATAGACAAAGAGTTATTCTGAATTAAATCAGGGGCACCGTTTGCTGACAACATCTAAATTTAACTTTGCCAGTATCATACTGTCTTTGTAGAACTGTAGAAATGAGGGGGTGGTTCCAGAATGCATTCATCACTGATCCTTATTTCCTTTTTTAAAGATTTTATTTATTTATTTGATAGAGAATGAGAGATAGCACGAGAGAGGGAAGAGGGTCAGAGGGAGAAGCAGACTCCCTGCTGTGCAGGGAGCCTGATGTGGGACTCGATCATGGGACTCCAGGATCATGACCTGAGCCAAAGGCAGTCACTTAGCCAACTGAGCCACCCAGGCGCCCCACCGATCCTTATTTCCAAAGTAGACTCACCACCTCCCTCAACTCCCCTTCTAATCCCTTAACACTGCTCACCTCTGTTAGGGACTTAATGTGTGATGGGTGGAGACAGAATTCTAAGTTCATGAATTTAAATTATATGCACAGTTATTTTCAAATTCTACTTAAGTTTTTTATAAAGGAAGAATGAGGATCATCCAAACATTGTATCTCATTGCTTGCTGCATTCTCTACATATTTATATGATGTGGTGGGGCCATTATGGGTATAAGGAGTGCTTTGTGCAACCTGTGCCAAACAATGATTGGTCATACTGTATTTTTTAGAAATCTTTAATGTCCAAGGACAAACTTGGGCAATGCATTATTTTTTTTTTTATAGAACTACCCTCTAGAATCAAGTAACTGAAAAACTGATGAAGTAATTGAAACAACCAGCTGAAGATAATACCCAATGTAGAAATCAATAATTATTTTCAAGACAGCCATGTTTTGAAATTAGCAGGTAATTTGCTATTATTTTGATAAACCCCCTGGCATATAATTATGAAGAAAACCTTCACTTTTGAACATTTCCATGTTGGACACACAGTGGAAATAAGGAAATTCAGAACAATTAGCCCCTGCACACAGTTGAACAGATGATGTCCCCAGCAATTTGCATTTTCCTTCCTTTCTCGGGTGCATTGTATGACTGAATGGTGAAGGCTTTGGACAAGCATTTGTTGAATATGTGTTAGATGCCAGGCCCTCCATGCACAAAAACCCATATAAGCCTTATAAAAGAACCCGTTTCACCCACAAAGACAGAGAGGTTTACATAACTCACCAGGGTCACCTGAGGGTTTTTGAAGGACATAATATCACTCACCAGGGTCAGAGCACCAGTGTTTGAATGCAGGTCTATTTCAGCTTCAAATCCACTGTCTTTCAGTGTCATGCTCTGCTTTTAGGGCAATTCTGGGAATTGTACATGCTATTTCAGTGGAATCAAGCTCAAAGAACACCAAAGGAAATGAGTAAATGTTAGTTATACTAATGATAGAAGGTTTGTTATCCTGCTTGGTAATTCAGAAGCTAGCACAAGAGACAAATGAGGGAGAGACTTATTATACCTGCATGAAAGAAAATTCCTACCATGGAAGTGGTGGGGTGGGGTCTGAACAGGATAGGTAGTTGGGAAAATCCTCCTCAGGGGACTAGGAAGAGTGTTCAGATGTAGTGCCTGGGCCTGATACCACAACATTGATCTAGGAAAACCTGCTTTCCAGAGATATTTCACCTTATAACTGTTTTCGGTCTTTTAAATTTTACTCTTAAAAGGCCCAGCTCTGATATTACAGGTATTCCCCACTTTTTGAAAGTTTGAATTACTACATTTCACTTTTATGAGAGACTTACATTAACATCTGCTTTTACAAACCAAAAGAAATCTGACGAGGATTTTTGCTTTTACAAAAGAGGTGGAAAGCAAAACTAGCATTCAGTGTTTGTTTTTGCAGAGAGCAGTTTCAGAGGGGGTACGCGCCCTGAGCAGCAAGGGTGGCCCCACAAAGCACACTCCCCAGGACCTACACTGGGCATCAGGCCACCATAGCTTTGCACTTTGTGAGCATCTGTGCTTTATCTTGATTTGTTTTGTGCATTTGTCAGCAAAATGCATCCCTAGGTATCAGAAAAACCTAGAGGTTGTTTTGGGGTCTGGAAATGCTCAAAAATGTTCTGTGTAAGTTAATGACGTTTGCTTCTTTTTATTTTATGTATCCACTTAACAATTTTTTTTATTAACTTCAGTTAGGCAGCATATAGTACGTCATAAGTTTTTGTTGTAGTGCTCAATGATTCATTGGTATGCATTTTGGTTCACAAGTTTCATATGAACGCTCCACTTTGGGGAAAAACGTATAACTTCTTTATTTATACTTTGAGGATGTATTCGTTTATTTAAAAAATAAGGTTAAACTTTGCAATCTTTTTTTTTCTTTCTTTTTTTCTTTCTTTCTTTCTTTTTTTTTTGTAATTGAGTGCTTTGTGTCCAGTCTTGGGAAACCCTTTTCAAATATCACCGTGAATTCTTCCAGATTTCTCTCCCAACCTGCCACTAATTAAAACAATGCATATGCCCTTTTCTCTTTCTTTAAATCTTTTTTTTTTAAGAGTTTATTTATCCATTTGACAGAGCAGGGGGAAAGGGAGAAGCAGACTCCCCATTGAGCTGGGAGCCCAACATGGGGCTCAATCCCAGGACCTAGAGATCATGACCTGAACCGAAGGCAGACGCTTAACCATCTGAGCCACCCAGGTGGCCCTCTTTCTTTAAATCTTATAGAAAGCAGGAAAAATTCTCCTCTTTGACTCATGCTTTTCCTTCTTACGCTATAGTGTGTTTGTAGAAGACTCTTGAAATCACAGACATTCTTAGCGTGGGGCATATCATGATGTGCTAAGCATCAAAGCCTATTTTGTGTCAAAGCAATTTACAACAATAGCACTATAAGAAACACTAGATTCCATACTAGGCCATTAATTGCAAATGTGTGAAAGTCTATATATATATATGGAAATGCCTCTGCTTTTTCTTAAGTATTTTACATAGACTGGAGATAGAAAAAGGAGTCAAGATATTGCACTCATTGAAGAGTCTTTCACAGGCCTGGCTTGGAGGTATGGCCCGAGAGGCCTAGAAGGTCTGTTTTTACATTTATTGGATATACAATAATGGGATCTATATAAATACAGTTGCGTTCAGGCTACCTCTACAAGCTGGGAGAAATTCATATGTCCCATTTTACCCCATACCCCCAGCCACACTGGAACATCCCTGAGGATAGGCAAAGCCTCTAATTCACAGTGGCCCTTAGGGCTTCAAAACCCAAACCACTAGGAAAGACAACCACAGGGTATCACATTCTGTGACAATCACTGAAAATCTGTCATCAGTGCCCATTTCCCACAAATAAAAATCTAAACATATTCATAGAACATGCAAAACTGGTCATCAGCTGGTCTTTTCCCTGGTCACAGCTGGACCAGGAACCACGTCAAACTACTGGACCTTCTGAGACACACAGTGTTCTTTCACACCTCACGGGGTTTTGCACTTGTGTTTATTCGGACCAGAGACCCCTAGAACTACAGAGGCTGGCTGGCCATTCCAGATCTCCCTGGAAACTATATTCCAAGAGGAGCTCCCTTGTGAACCTTTTCTCCACATGCTTCATTCTGGTTGGCCCATTTGTCCACCCTTGTGGGTGCATCTGGGAAATTCTGCCACTACCTTGTTATTCGGTCCACATGCCAGTTCTTTCCTATGGCTGGATATAAGCTCTGGGGTCTTCTTCTTAATTAGCTCTGCATTTGATCCCAGTACCTGGTGCCTAGCTCCTAAAACCATTTGTGAAAGGAGGAATACCATACATGCACTGGTCTGCAGAGCACACTAGGATCATCACCAAACACTAGACATGGAAGTTAAGACAGGGTCTGTTTCCATTCCTTGCATTTGTTACATCTCAAATTTCTCATATCTAATATATGCATGGGGTTTACAATATTTTTTTTCAGAGAATGATTGCAGATCTCACATGGGACATTGTATTTATTTATTTATTGCAGAAGCTATACTGGACCCTTACTCTGTGCGGTCTGAGTGAAGGACTTTGGAATAAAAATATGAACAGGGTACATCTTTTGTCCTTAAGTCCCTCAAATTACTCAAAAGAAGATTCTAATGTAAATCACTTTTTAAATGTAGCATTACTACATAAATCTACCTTTGCCCATACAGGGAATGGAGCTCACATGTGCGGGAAACTGGCCAAGGGGTGGCATTTCTCCCACTGCACCATCCAGTGTCTCCGACACCCTTTGTCCTCCCTTAGAGTCATGAGGACCTTCTCTGGTTTAACTCTTCCCGGATTCCCTCCATGGAAACAGGTGCACTGGATGCAGGTGCCCCTTACCTAACTAGGGAAAGTTGAGGCTGTGTTGACAGAGGACGTTTGAAAACCTTAGCTCAATAAATCACCAATGCAGTCTCTGGGGGAAAAGAAACAATAATAATGCAGAGTGTAACTGCTGAATGAAAACCAACCAAGATCCTTTTAAAAACCACAAACAGGAAGGAAAGTGCTGTGTCAGCGGCTGTTGCTTTTGATGTTTGAACTTTTTTTTTTTTTTTTTTTTCCTGTGGAGTAGAAGGAGCTTGGGTGGAGGAGACTGAATCCCCAGAGCTGAGGCGAATGGTGAGGCCCAGGAGAGCTGAGAGTCTTGGTGAGAAGGACAAGGGACTCGGCTAGGGAAGAAAATATGGATGCCCTGGAGACAGGAAAGGTGAGCAGAGAGGGCTATTCAAAGGATGGAGGATCTCATGGTGTCAGAGAAAACAGGACATAAATGGAGAGGGGGACTAGAGAAGGAGTATTAGTGAAAGTTGGGGTGGATTTGGAACTATGCAAACCTGAAAAAGTCAGAGGTAAGAATCTAGGAGGGAGTGCACCAAAATAGGGTTGCATTGACACAAAGAGGTGTTCTATTCACCTTAGAAGAAAGATCATGAGAAAATACAAATTTCAGTTAAAGCAACCCTACTGAACAAAAAAGTGCCACTTTTTTGGTCACTTTCCATAGTATTTGTAAATACAATGAAATCAAATTATAATCCATTCCACTAGTTACCTGCACAGGTGGGCTGCAAGGGAAGCAAATATTTTTCTAAGAACCATGATGGGCACAGACCTCATTCCCCAGCTAACAAGTCTGGAGACAAAACAGAGCTTAAACGCAGCGACCCTAGCATCAGCTGGGGAAGAAATGCCCTCTGATGTCAGCTCACTCACTCAGCCTCACCCTGCTGAAGACCGCTGCGACCCCCAAACCAGAAGCCAGCAAGCTCCTCTTAGCCTCTAGGAATTAGGAAATCTACATTCACGTGAGCTGTGGTATCAATCCATCCATACATCTGAGCACATATATGGCTTTACTGTCTCCCAATAAAATAGAGATGTTTCCATCATTGAGAGTCTCGGGGATATCAGTAAAAAGCAAAATCGTATGTGTAACGTAGAAAAATACGGATCTTTTGACATAATATTGTCATCTTTGAAATCCCTTCATCCATTAGCTTCTAAGATACACTGCACTGATTCTGCTCATTCACTGGTTATTTATTCAACTAGTACTTACTGGGTGTCCAAATATGCAGTCACTCCTCAAGGTCCTGGGGATACAGCACTCAACAAAAATGAAAAAAAAACTCTGTCCTAATGCCGCTTCAGTTCAGTCTCATCTTCCATATATCTTGCTGTTTTTCTTTAATTAAATATACTTCCTCCTGCTAGACCCTGTATCCAGTGTGTGGTATCTGTGAGTCCATCTCACCCTCTGAACAGCACTGTAGGAGTGGAACTAGCAACATCCTCCTATCTTAGAGGTGGACATGGCCTCCCCTAAACCCCCTTAGCCACAAAGTGGCACAGTCTTCAACCTGGGCCAGCGTCTTCTTCTCTACTGAGGAGCCCTGCACCCTTTTACTTTCTGTTCTAACTTCACATCTTTGCCGCTTTGCTCACACCTGCATGTTTGCTCTCAAAAAAATCTAGTTTATTTATCCACCGAGCCTTTGGCATATGACCTCAAGCCTTTCAGACCCTGCACACCACCAGAGCTTCAGGCCAAGCCCTCATCCTTAGAATAAGGACCCACAGGGGTGCCTGGGTGGCTCGGGAGGAGAAGCTTCGGACTCTCAGTTTCCACTCAGGTCATGATCTCAGGGTCATGAGATCGAAACCCCCTCCTCCTTGTTGGGCTCCTCGCTCAGCGGGGCTTCTGCTGGAGATTTCCTCTCCCTCTACCCCTCCCCTCACTCACTCACTCTCTCTCTCTCAAATACAGAAATAAATCTTTAAAAAAATAAATAAGGACCACAAACCTCACAGGAGCTCCAAAGACCTGAGTCATCAGTCCCTGCCTCTGGGACCTTATCTGCTGCTACTCATCCTCATCTGGCCCCACACACAGCCCGCCTGGAGCGCTCTGGTCACAGGGTGAGTCCTGCTCCCTCCCACCACAGTTGATGTTTGTGTCCCTGTGACCTCTGGCTGCTGTGTTGCTGGCTTCCCTTCCTGCTTCCCCTCGCACCCGGCCCTTTAGTTGTTAGCTCAGGGACTCCCTGGGACCTTCACCCTAACCCTGCAGGCTAGTTCAGAGTCCTTTATTATATAGTCTTGTAGCATTGCTGAGCATCCTTTCTCCCAGCGATTACTTTGTAATTGCCTGCATTCTCCTGATGCATCCTAAGGCTCCTCGAGAGCTGGGACGTAATATGTCTTTTGCGTACCCTTGCGTCTGGGACTCTGGCTACCAACAGACCTTTGCTGAGGCCAGACTGGATGGTTTGGTGTAGGCATACGCACCATCACTTCAAACTCAACAAAATGGAAGTTACATTTTGCTCAGTGACAGACACTCCCTGCATTTGCCACCTTTCAGGTGACCTAATGACCTCACCATATTTACTCTGAATAGGGATCACATCCTCTCTTCAAATTATCTTGCTCCTTATGTGTCTTTCTCAGTCTCCCCCACCTCAGAGGTGCGGCAGCGCTGATGGGCCACGCTTGAATTACTCCTTCTGAGGAAAGTGGTAACTTACAGCCTTGTCACCTCCAAAATGTGCTTTGCAACAGTAATAGCAGGCATGCAGTCCTTACAGACCCTCTTTGAATTATGCCAAATATTTATATTCCATATAGTTGCTGGGTTATACTAACCTGTCATTATTCTACACGTATCTATCCAGGCATCTCCACATCAGCTCATCTACTCAGTTCTTTATCATGAGCTAATTAATGGGGGGTAGAAAATTAAAGTTTGGAAAATATTTTAAGAAATTATTGTGCCATATAAAAGCGCCTCGGTGGCTCAGTTGGTTAAGCGTCTGCCTTTTGTCAGGTCATGATCCCGGGGTCCTGGGATCCACCCCCACATGGGGCTCAGCAGGAAGCCCGCTTGTCAGTCTCCAGCTCCCCCTGCTTGTGCTCTTTCTGCCAAATAAATAAATAAAAATCTTTAAAAAAGAGAAATTATTATGCCTTATAAGGATAAGAAGGCCCTGGGGTAGTTGAGCGCTGTGAATTGTGTAAGACTGTTGAATCACAGACCTGTACTTCTGAAACAATTACTGCATTGTATGTTAAAAAAAAAAAAAAAGAAGATAGTAGGAAGGGAAAAATGAAGGGGGTAAATCGGAGGGGGAGACGAACCATGAGAGACGATGGACTCTGAAAAACGAACTGAGGGTTCTAGAGGGGAGGGGGTTGGGGGGATGGGTTAGCCTGGTGATGGGTATTAAAGAGGCCACGTTCTGCGTGGAGCGCTGGGTGTTATACGCAAACAATGAATCATAGAACACTACATCAAAAACTAATGTATGGTGACGTAACATAATAATAAACAAAAGATACAGTATGAGGGATTCCGTTACAAATGTTCCGTTTCCTAGGAGGCCAGGGTGACTAAAATGTTAATTTTATCCTGTAACTGAGGGTTGTCTGAGTTGTAACTTCTCGCCGGGAGTGGCTCATTTGGACTCTTGAACCAGAGCCAGTGGCTAAAACCCATCCTGTGCCTGCTTGCCCTGAGGCTGTAGGGTTCCTCCCTTCTGTGCCAGACAGCGAGGACAGATAGTGCGGGCCGCTGGGGAAGGCAGCGCTGCTATCAGCCGGGCCAGGCGAGGCCAGGCCGGCCATGGCCTCGGGGGCGCCGGGGGAGCGGCTGCGCGAGGAGGCCAGGTGCCCCGTGTGCCTGGATTTCCTGCAGGACCCGGTCAGCGTGGCGTGCGGCCACAGCTTCTGCCTCGGGTGCATCTCAGAGTTCTGCGAGAAGTCCGACAGCGCGCAGGGGGGCCTCTATGCCTGTCCGCAGTGCCGGGGCCCCTTTGGGCTGGAGAGCTTTCGGCCCAATCGGCAGCTGGCCAGCCTGGTGGACAGCGTGCGGCAGCTGGGGCTGGGCCCGGGGCGCATGGGGATGCGCCAGTGCGCGCGGCACGGCGAGGAGATGAGCCTCTTCTGCGAGGAGGACCAGGAGGCGCTGTGCTGGGTCTGTGACACCACCCCGGAACACAGGAGCCACCACACGGCGCCGCTCCAGGAGGCAGCAAGGTGTTACCAGGTGAGAGCCCTAGGCGCGCTCCGCAGGCCGCAGGTGGAGAGGCCGTGGCTGGGAGTCTGGAGGTGCGGCCCAGGCAGATGAGCGGCCGTGTTAATGACTTGCCTCGGGACAAGCCCAGATGATACCATCCTGACCTGAATGACTCCGCGCCCTTCTCGCCCCCCTCTCCCTCACAGCTCACGTTCAGGTGGGAGGTCTTCTTGCCCTACCCTATGGGAACCCCCTTCTGGGACTTCTGTTCAGGAGCTCAAATGCACCTGGTTCATTTAACCAAATTACTTTAGACTGTCCCTTCCTTCCCCAACCCTTCACTTTGTTCCTGGTTTTCTTCTCCCTGATGCTGATGTTCGGGTTCCAGATTAGAGCTCTAGTGTGGAGCGCTGGGTTATCCAGTTACAGGTGTACAGGTGTACGTTGGTTACAGGTGTACATTTTTATTGTAAATGCTTCCTAATAAGTTGTCTAATGCCTGGTTTTCCGTAGTGCTTATCTCTATGTTAGTCAGTACTGTCACCAGAACAGCCCTGGGTTTTGGACCTAGTGTCTGCGGAACACACAGCTCTGACCGCCTTTAAAGCTTGCAGATGCATGTGCACCCTGAAGTAAAAATCCAGTAGCTAAGTCTGTTCAGCACATATCCAGGGACTGATCCTCAATAAAGAGGTGACTCATATTGGAGTATTTGGCCCCCAAAAGTGGCATCTGTGAAACTCTAATAGAATTCTCCCTACTGGTGCTCTTCAAAAGTTATGTGACATATTCTGATCACATTTAAATTCCCAACATCTGGAACAGCTGTTACCACAAAGGAGGTGGGAGGTCTTCAATCTACCTGCATGTTTAACTGAAGTACTGTCACAATGAAATACATTGTTAACATTGGACTTTCTAAAATTATTATTATTATTATTTTAACTTTCATTGTTTTAAATCAAGGTTTTGGGGTATTTCCTGCCTCAACTTCCTTCTTGACATACCTGGAAATATCTCTCAGTTTTGTTTTTTATCTTTTGGTTGTCATCTACAAAATTCAGGTGCCACTTCCTTTCTAGCTACACTTTTGAAGCATGCTATCCCTGCTTTCTTTTTACCCAGAAGTTACCTAAACGTAACATGGCTATATGTAATATGTCTAAAGAAGTTCCTTGTATTTCATTAATCCTTGATTAAATAGCAAATAAATATCTGTTAAACTCCTTAGCCTGTCAGTCAAAACTTCCTAGGGCCCTAAGTTCTATTTCTATACTTCTTGTCTCAGCCAAACATGAGATCCAGCAAAACTAGCCTAATCACTGTTGCCCCCAAACATGCCATATCTTTTTCACCTCCTTGCCTTTGATCACAGTTTCTTCTGCCTAAGGGAGCTTTTTCTCTGTCTATAAGTGTCAGAGTTCTATTTCTTGCAAACATTAAGAAAAATGCCACTTGCCCTATCTTGTCAAATACTTCCATAAATTCTCCTGCTAGTTTATGTGCAGCATTATGGAGACGCTTATAACAGTTTCTTTTAAAGGCAGTTGTTGTGTAAGACTTATTAAATGACTTTGGGAAGAGTTTGTTTCCCCCCCATTTTTTTTCTTAAGATTTATTGAATGACTTAGGGAAGAATATAAAAATGTGTGTATATGTGTATCCATATGGTTGTTCTCTATAGATAACATATATGTGTTTACTTCTAGCAGGGGTTGTAGGGTTGAAAGGAGATTTAGTTTTGTTATTTTTTAAATTCCTCACAAGGTTTATGATATTGTGTATCTCCTTTCCACTTAACAATTAGTAATTTACAAGGTTTCATTTTACCAAATACTAATAAACAATTTTCTTATTATAAAGCAATAAATAATTTTTAAAAGTTCAAATATATAGTTATAAGGAATAGCATCACTTGCAACCAAGCACTAGCAGATGCAGTTTCATCTATTGAACATCTGTTGCTACGTAGTTTTTTTATGTATTTATTACAAGCACTTTGTTTCAAAATTGGTGCCATATTACATAAAATATACTTAATTGACTTTATAATCGTGAATGTTCCTTGTCATTCAGTATTCTGCAGCATCTTATTTTAATTCCATCATGTTAATATAAAATACATTTTTCTCACTCTCCTATTTTTGACATTTGGTAAGTTACTTCTATTTTAAATAATGCTGCAGTGAACATATGTTTAAATAAATCTTTGATTATATCTGGCATTAACATTTAAAAATACATGCATATTTTACTAATCATTAAAGAGGTTGAACATTTTTATGTGCTTAATCGATCTTTGCATTTCCTGATATCCCTGGTTAATATCAGGTACTGAGTTTGGGCATCTATAATGGGCTCGGCACATCTTTCCAAACAGGCAAAGCTCCAGATGGCCCTGGAACTTGTAAGGAAGGAGATAGAGGAGACCTTCACTCAGGAGGCCAACGTAGGGAAGAAAATTGTCATTTGGAAGGTAAGAGAATCTTGGGACTTTTGACAGATCCAAGTTTGGATCATTAAATTACTATTCATCCATCTTCCCTGCTGTACACTTTTGTCTATTTACATAGCTCTAGGGAAACATCTGCGTCATCTTGGATCATCGTGTCCCCTCAGATTATACCACGTATCTGTGTTCTTTATCTCTATTAATACTACCCCAGTCCAAATTATAAAGAAATAGTTTTACTGATCTTGATCGTACTATAACTCACTGCTCCATTCCTAGTACCTAGAGGAGAATCTCATACTGTCATTACTAGTTTAAAATGTGTGTGTGTGTGTGTATTCATTGGACGAATGACATAAATATTTCACAGGATTTATATATATGAAATATACCTAATATTGATCATTTTACATATAGGAGGATAATCTGAGCTTTCAACCTCTTGTCAGTAATCCATATGCATATCTTCTTTTTTTTTAAACTTCATCAGCTTTTTCACTTACCTATTTACACACATACACACAGCGGTTCTAAATCTGTCACTGAACTTGCCCTCTGCTCATGCTCTCTCTCTGTCAAATAAATAAATAAAATCTTTAAGGTTTCACGATTACCATATTACTAAGTAATGTTCATGTTTGTAATCTCTAAACCTTTTTTTTTTTCACATTTACAAATCAGGTCTCTCTAATCTCTCTTCATAATGATTCAGTTGTTTCCACCCTGTTCTCATTCTAGTGACTAATGATGTATTTTAACTTCCTTGGGCAACTATTCTATGCTAGTCACTCTGCTCAGCAATTTAATGGATATTTAACCTTAATCCCCATACTCCTTTTCCCCCATAATTTAAATATGGTACAAAAACTTGGAGTGCCTGGGTGGCTCAGTCGTTAAGCGTCTGCCTTCAGCTCGGGTCGTGATCCCAGGGTCCTGGGATTGAGCCCCGCATCGGGCTCCCTGCTCAGCGGGGAGCCTACTTCTCCCTTTCCCACTCCCCCTGCTTGTACTGTCTGCCAAATAAATAAATAAAATCTTAAAAAAAAAAAAAAAAAACTTGCCTGTAAAACAGCCTTGCCCCCATGGCCAAATGAGAACTCAAATCCAACTGTCTTTCTTAAACTCTAAATCTGAAGGCCACTTGTCCCATAGAGTGGCCTCTGGTTTCTGCATGTTGCTAAAAACAGCTAATCTGTGGACAGAGCTAAGGCTCTGAGGTCTCTCTGGACATTGCCATCAGCTTCCCTATCCCACACCTGAAGCGCCCCCTGGTGATGGTTGGATCCCCTGTGTCACTCCAGGAGAAAGTGGAAATGCAGAGGCAGCGCTTCAGGCTGGAGTTTGAGAAGTATCGTGGGTTCCTGGCCCTAGATGAGCAGCTACAGCTGAGGCGGCTGGAGGAGGAGGAGCGAGCCACCCTGCAGAGACTCCGGGAGAGCAAGAACCGGCTGGTGCAGCAGAGCAGGGCTCTGAGGGAGCTGGCCGAGGAGCTGGAGGAGAGGTGCCAGCGCCCAGCGCTGGGTCTGCTGGAGGTGAGCCTGGGTCCTCTGCAGCTGGGTCTGC